CTACACACCTAGCGCATGACTCGGCCTATTGCTTGGCTCCGTGCGCTTAATGCACGACCTAGCACGTAAATGCTTGTCGTGCACCTAATGCACGACCTAGCATGTAGGTGCCTATTGTCCACCTAGTGCATGGTCCGGCATGCAAGTGCTTGGGGTGCGTCGCCTAGTGCATAGCTCCTAGACTATGCACCCGGCGAGCTCAACTCGGTAGGCAAGCAAGCCTAGCCTATTGCACACCTAATGTGCGACTAGCCCGCCTAATGTGCACCAAACGTGTAATTAGCTAGTAAGGTTGTTATGCACGTAAGCATCGAAGTCTAAGTCGGCCTCATATGCCCTTTTGATTGTAACTCAACAAATCGGTTTTAAGCTAGTATAAATACCAAAAACACAAAATTTATAATCGGACATAGCTAATTTTTGGAATTAATCATAATTAACAAATCATATAATCAAAGATTCAATGGAGGTTCGATACCAATTGAATGATCCCGCTTCTTATGGAAGCATAGAATAAAGAAAAAAATTTCTTCATCTAAGGGCTCAAGATCAAGCAATTAAATCTACTAACCATAAATGCATGAATTTAAAACAAGAAATAAAGAATTATCTCTTGTAGTATAGACTCGAATTCTTTTAGCGAAAGGGCTTCCAAGTGTCCAACCTCTATTGATAATCCACACGGTCCAAGTACCTACAAAGAAGCACTCAAAATCGGTAAGGTGCTAGCTTCACCTTTTCCGACTTGTGTAGTATTTCCTATAGAAATCTATTCGGACAATTTTGAGACACTCTTAAAAGTGAAGGAAAGTGTGGTGTGCTAGGGCTTTTGGGAGAAAAGTATTTTCTCCTTTTTTTTTATGTTTACCATATGCCTTAGTGGCTTTTTTAATTTTAGATGAATTTCCTCTATATTCCCTTTTTTTTCTTATGTTGCCACACCTCTCTCTCTCACATATATTTATGGGAGAGTTTCCTTATCCTCTAGGAATAAGAAGAGGGCCGATAATAAGTCCCTTGAGGACTCTAAGTTGTTACTTCCTTATTCTCCAAGGATTAGAAGTTATTTTATATATGGATTTTTAATCTTTATCTTTAAAACATTTATCCTTATCCAATAAGGTTAATGTTTATCCTCCTACCAAAATATCTTAAAGCTTTAATTAAACCTAATAGGCCAAGACCATTCTGACCCAATTAATTTATTTGGACTATCCAAATAAATAATCTTAAGTTATTTTAGGTGGGTCCACATTAGGAAGCAATTTCTCAAAATACCCTTTAACCTAAATGAGAAAAATCATTTTCATTTTAGGTTATTTATTTTCAAATTTAGAACTAATTTTCAAATTAGGAAACTTCCTAATTAAAAAAACTTTCCATTTTAAGAAACTTCCCATTTGAGGAAACTTTTCATTTTGAAAACCCTTTCTAAATAAGAAACTTTCAAAATTGAAAACCTTTTCTAATATCTTTACTTCTCATTCATCATGTGAATACTTAAACTCATGTGTGTAACTCAATAGGCTCTTAGATATGTTGGCAATGTATCAAGAATAAAAGACTCTTCTTTTATTTCTTAATACATAAATCAAGATTAGCCTCTAGCAAGACATCATAATTACCCAATTCTCTAGAAGGATTAATTTATCCATTATCACCTTTGACAAGCATGGTTATCATGCAATTCAATTCTCATGCTAACTTATCACGAGTGTAATCTCGAACTTGGTTATAAGTGTTGTTCGATTATGATCGGACAAGTTTATTCGATTCCTAAATGTCTTAGCTCTTAGAGTAAACCAACTATGCTTTATTGGTATACTCCTATTATGGTCATAGATTTCTCAAGCTGATATTTATTAAAGTGTAATGTGATAACTCATTTAGCATATAAGGAATGATAAGTCATATCTTAGTCATACACCCGCACCCATTATATTCCTATTACACCCAATTAACCACCAATGTGCAACCCCTTAATGGATCTATCGAAATGAGTGTCAAAGTGTATAAGTTCTCTAATGATATAACCATAATGACTTCAATTCTAAGGACCATTTGTACCCATCTTTAGGAGATTCCCGTAGACTAAAACCAAAAGGGTTCTCATGGCAAGTCAAGTCAAGTGATATGTTCTCTAACATAAATTATCTAAGTGTTTGCTTTGGCATCACCATGCTAATAGGTGTGAGATCTCCTATTTTTATCATATAACATGAGCATAGCACTCACAAGTGTATCCGTATATTATCAATATTCATTCTTGACAATGCTTTGATTTAGGATGTTTAATGATATCATTTATATGCATTAGTATTTGTATTACATCTTTTGATCAATCACTATTGTAAATGCATATCATACAAACTTCTATCTAATTCTACCGAATTTGTCAATATGAAACACAAGAATTAATAGAATGACTTTTTTATTATTATTAAAATATATGATATAATAATTATTAACTTAAGCCCCATCCAAACATGATTGGATCTTCGGCACCTACACTAACACAAAGACTCGGTTGTTAGAAGGTCCCGTTTGACTTATAAAGTTGTCGATAATGATTAGCTACGGAGTCATATTTTTCGGTCCACCTACGGAATTCGAGGTAAGGTATGTTATTTTGTCATTGATGTTGGCGATTGTGAAAATATTATGTCTAATGAATCAATGTAGAAACTAAATCTTAAAACAAAGGGGCACCCTAAGCTTACAAGCTAGCTTGTCTTAAAAAAAGGGAGAGGTAACTCGTATCTTAAAACGAGAGGGCACCCTAAGCTTACAAGCTAGCTTGTCTTAAAAAAGGGGAGAGGTAACTCGTATCTTAATAAGCTTTAGTTTCTTTTTCTATTGGCTCTAAGTATAAGGATGGCATGTGGTGCGATGTGGTTGTAATGGATACATGTCATTTATCGTTAGGTAAGCCTTGACGGTATGATAGGGGTGTAATTCATGATGAGCAAGCCAACACACATAGTTTTATGTTTAATATGGTAATGATTGTACTCGAACCTAGTAACATCTTGGATGTTTCCAAACTCGTAAGAGAAAATAGCAAGTTGGTGTTGCTAGCTTGGTTTGTGGAGATAGTTGAGAAGATTAACTCCAATGCTTATCGTCTTAAGTAGCTTAGTCATATTCGTATCGTCGATGTTTTCAATGTCAAGCATTTGATTCTATTTCGTGGTGACTCTTCTAACAATGATGATGCGGACAATTCAAAGGCAAATTTTCTCTTTCCTAGGGGGATGATACCGACCAATGGGTCTTGGAATTTATGGAATGGTATGAACATGACGAAGTTAAACAAAAACTATCGACCCAATTTTGAGATTTTTTTAATCTAGTTTAATGCCAAATAGGAGTGATTTTGGCCCAAAAAAATATCATTTAGGCCTTCAAAATTGTCTTTTACTTTTTTTTTAGATTTTTTCTTGTTTTGGGTTTTTAGAATTTTTACTTTTTTTAATCGTTTTAGGGTTTTGATCAAATTTTCCCGCTTATGTATGACTTGGAGGCTAAAAAATGTAGCTTTGTCTAATTAATAAAAGTTTATAAGAGAGTATCTTAAATTTATCTTAATTTATGACATTCTTTGAATCAATGAAATTTAAGCATATTTTTTTATAATTATGCCTAATTCAACAGATTGTAGTAAACCGATATCTAAATTTCGGATCAACGGTATTTATCTTTTTCTTATGAGCTTCCACTATGTTAGATAGTTTTAGGATCCGAAATCAATTTGATTCTACCGAAGAAACATTTTTTTATTATTATTATTAGTATTCTATTTTATTTTACTAGTACCACTAATTTTGTCCTATTATAGATTTTATTCCATATTTAATATTAAAAAATGGGCGAATTTTATTATTTTTGAACGGCATGGCCGATCAATATGAGCTCAAGGCTCTCTTTTTTATAATTTCAAAATTTTCTTGCTAGCAAGTTTTGAATTTGTAATTTTTATATTCATGATTTGACAGATAAACTAAGAACTACGATTCAAATTTATTTTTATTTTATATCCTATTTTCTGTTTGCATATGGGTATTTAATTTACAAATGGATTTTAAATCTTATTTTCCACCTTCCCAAATGGGCTCATTTTATAAATTCACCTTTAAGAATTTAGCCATCCATTTTCTAATTGCCATGTATCGCTGCTGCGGGTTTAAATGAGCCCTGTCTTCTATGCTATCAACTTCTTTCGGCCAAGAAAGCTTCAAGTTTGAGTGGTGTGTTTACTAGAATGATCATGTCCTTGCTTTTTCATAGCATCACAAACTGTCTTATCCTATCTTTTATTTGCCATTAAAATTTAAAAGTTCCTATACATTTTTCCTAGCATATCTAGCTGGATATGTTGCCTTGAATATTTTGTTTCTTCTCTTCTCTTCCCTTTAACTGATTTCTCTCTCATTCAGCTGGATACAGAACTGCTCTTTGGGGATTTTTTTTTTTTGGGACCCATGGGGAGAGGTCAGGACACCAAGACCTAATCAAAGAAGTTTCTTTACGAATTAGCTAATCTTAGTTGTAGAATGCAGTAGAAAAGGTTAGCCTCTCCTATTTATGCTTCCCTTATGACCCTTTTGAGCATGCAGAGTTTATGGTAGTTGATTGGTGTGTTTCTGCTTGCTGATTTTCTAAGGCCAAAGTATGATATGATGAATACGGATGGTTTTGCTAAAAAAGGTCTTTCTTCGGTTTGTTTTTCCTGCGTTACTTTTTAAGAAATGTCATTTTATATACTCCGTGGCATTCGATAAAAATATTGAAGCCATTATATGCTTTGGACTTCATGTCCAAATCCAATGATTTGTCCAATAAGCCCAACTTTTCACTTCCTTACGCTAGACAGGTCAAGCCGTCTTGGTTGACTAGCTAATAAAAACGTACTTCATAAGGAACCAACACAAATCGCACAAAAGTAAAGCAACCTCAGTCTCGCTTTTTATCCCTCTTAACAAAATTTTTGGAATAGGAACATGAATAACAGTAGATATTATGGCTGGGCTGATCTTCCAAAAGAATTATTGGAAATGATCAGCAAACGCCTTGATTCTCGCATCGATCTGTACCGATTTCGTGCTGTTTGCACTTCATGGCGATCAACAATCTCTGTTTTCTACAAGCAGTTTCCTCGTGTGCCCCATAAGCTCCCTAAGCCCATCTGGGCGCATGCGTATTTGTCTCAAGTCACAATCTGCCGTGTTGAATTTGTTGAAGATAGTGAGGATCCAAGCGCTTCGAGTTCTATGGCCTGGTTGGCTAAAGTTGAGGAGTCAACTCATGGAGAAATTCAGCTTTTAGTTCCAGTCTCGAACCGCCAATTGAGTAATAATATTCCTGGTATGGTTGTAAAGATGTTGAACTTATTGAACTTTCGCCTAGTAGAACTGACTAGAGCATATAGCCTTAAACTTGCTCGTGGCAGTTCTGTTTATGGAATCAATAAAGTTGTGTTGTTTCCACCATCTACTGATAGTAGCACTAATGAGTATGGTGTTCTAGCAATCTTCCATGAAGGAAAATTGGCTTTCTGGAGAGTTGATGACGACAAATGGAAACTTTTAGATGAAAGAAATTTTCATTATGATGACATTATGGTTTACAAGGGACAATACTATGTTGTAGATAGATGGGGGACTGTTTCTTGGATTGATTCGTCGTTGAACGTTGTTCAATATTCGCCTCCGCTGTATGGCTGTGGTCATCAGAAGAGTTTGGTCGAGTCAGGTGGCGATCTTTTCATCGTTGATCGGTATTTTGATTATGAAAGAAGGACATGGAATAATGAGTATCGTTATCAAAATGTTGACTTAGAGCATCGTGTCAGGAATCTCCCGATTTGTCGTGCTCAGACGGTTAGGATCAGAGTCTATAAGCTTGACGAAGAATGGGGTACTTGGGTGAACATAAGCTCATTAGGTGATGAGGTTTTTGTTTTGGGTAATGAATGCAGTTTCTCTGTTTCAGCTAAAGAGTTTTCTGGGTGTGAAGGGAATTGCATATATTTCATAGATCCTTTCGACGCAGGTCGCCATGGGGAGTTGAGTGGTTGTGATGCTCGTGTATATAATTTAAGTAGTGGCAGCATTGGTAAAGTACCAAATTTTCCTGGCAATTCTTGCATATTTTGTCCACCTCCAACAAAGAAAGTTCTAGACCAAATTTCTGTTGTTCCCACATGTAAGTATAACATTAGCACTTAAGCCAACAAATGCAAATTATTATTATTATTATTTAACTCTCTTCTGATTGTTCTCAATATAATGATTACAGATGAGAAGTGAGGAGATTATATGAAATCGAGAAGAATGTGGAGACTCTAAGTGATCATAGCTAAGATATCATCTGCTGTATATTACAAGAAGTAAAGAGTTTTGATGCCTGGGAACATTACAAGTAAATTCTGGTTTATAACTCATCCTTGCATGGATAAAATTTTATTAATCTGAGTGTTTCCCGTCTCTTCATCATAACTTTAAATTGAAGGCATCTGTTCAATTTGCATTTTATTGCATTGAATATGAATCTTTTTACTAGATGAGAAACCATGTATCGCATCCCTATAGTGGGGAATCCTTTCATAATCATATGCATAACTTAATTTCTCTGGGTTAAACTTCACCAAAGGGAGAATCTCTCTAGGCAGAATACAAAAAACTTATGGTGGCTTGATTGGATGGATTGTTCCAAATATCTATGATAGATCACTCCAACACATATCTATTAGTATTTGTATTTCCACATCATTATGGTTGCCTTATTGGTTTAGGAATTGAACTAGTTTCATAGATATCCCACGAAAAAGAAAAAAAAAAAAACTGAGTTCAGTGATGGAATATTCTATCGCCTTTTACATCTTTTGAATCACTATTATCTTTTAGAGACAGAATTGCAATGAAACAAAACTGTTGCTAAAAAATTTGTCACTACTTTTTTTAGCGACAAATATTCGATTCTGTTGCTAATTTGCAATTGCATTTTTGTTGTTATTTACAAGTATCTTTCCATTGCTAATTTGATATAAACAATTCGTTTAGTAAGTATGAAATCTCTTGCAAAACCATCGCTAAGATATTTAATTTCTATCAATATCTAGAGATAAAAATCCGTTGTTAAATTTTGTCGCTAAAAGTAGTTGCAAATTCGTAACTTGATTTATATTTAATCAATTAATTAAGTTAATTATGTTTAATTAGTTGAATTATAACTTTATTTATGTTAAAATTTGCTAATTTATTGTTATTTTTAAGTTTAATTTGGTTAGAATTTAAATTAATTAATTAATTTGATTTATATTTATTTAATTAATTAGGTTAATTTTGTTTAATTGGTTGAATTGTTATTTTATTTATATTAAAACTTGTTAATTTATTATTATTTTAAACTTAATTAAGCTCGAATTATAATTAATTAGTTTAATTATTTTTTATATAATTATTAAAGTATGTCGAGATACGTCATAATGTGTCGAACTTGAGGGGTTAGAGACCCCAAAAATTAAGGAGAAATAAGGTTGGTACAATGTTATGCGTAGAGCTAGGAGGATGAATTTGTGATTTAGTTTTGATAGAGTATCCGAGACAATTGTTGGTCTCGATGTGCATAAATTGATTATTAGTTGATTTGATTTTAGTATTTGGGTGATCATTTAGAGTAGTCGTTAATTGGGAAAGATGTAATTTATAAAAGAGACTATTGAAATTTTGTTAGAAATTAAATAATTTTGTGTTACCTCGAAAGTGCAAAAACAAAATAATGAGGTATGATCATGCATAAATGTGTGTTAGGTGTATCAATGAGTATTGAAATTATGATTTCGGGAATAAGGTTGAAGAATTTACTAAATTTACTATTACTCATTCGGAATATATGGGTGGAAGAAAGTTAAGGCTTCATTGCAATCACCATAATTGTCAAAATCAAAATTTTGAAGAGGTTGTCATGGTTAAATACCATTTAGTGAGATATGATTTTGTGTATGTATATTATGATTGGATACACCATAGGGAAATAAACTAAAGAAGGCGTTTCAACAAATACGAACTCTTTATTTTAGCAATACAAGCATTTCAAATATATTATGTCACATATCCTAGCTTAAAGCGGGACTCGTCGAAATTGGTGGGTTGTTTGTAAGATAAAAGTTAAAGATGTGATTGATTTGCTAGAATCATTTGTTAGAGTCCAATAAAATGCAAAACATTTTCAAGAGGAAAAATAAAAAATCCAATCTAATTTGATCCAAGCATCATGATGAAGAGCAATTGTTGAATGATCCAGATAAATCATTTATAGATATAGAAATAATTAAAGCTAATGAAAAAGATAAGTGAATATATATCAAAATCGATTGAATGAAAGAAAAATAAAAATATTATTATGATAGTTATAATTAAATAAAAATTTTATTTGTTTTATTCATTAAATTATATTGTTTTTCCTATTATGCAGTTTTTGCTGTTTGTTATCCATTTTGGACTTGTTAAATTTTATGCCCGTGACATTTTTAGTAACAAAGGAATATCAAATGTATAATTTTCATTTGTTTTAATTCATAATAATCTATAATATATATTTTTGAATTGTTATTCATTTGTTAAATTATTTCAAATGTTATTTTTGAAATATGCTTTGTGGATTAGGCAAATCTAGTCATGGAATTAGTGGTAGTGGCTCGATGTTAATCGTGTGATTGATAATGGTGGTATACATGGACGTGGTACTCGTTAGTGCAAGTGTCTAGGGGGAGGACTTAGTAATGGTGTCGACACGTCCGCATGCCCTCCAGTAGTGTCCTCATCGGTTATGCCCTACTAGTAGTGTCCCTACTAGTAATGCCTCCTGCTATGGATGATCCTAGGATGGTTTCCTTAGCGTAAGAATCTCTATTGGATCCGATGATGGATTGATCATTTGGATTGTGAATAACTAATAAATAATATATTTTACATGCGATAATTTGTTTTATATTTTCATATATTATATCAAAATTATTCATTTACCTATTTACCTATTTATTTGTTTTATATGACTCGCTTGGTTCCATCAAGCAAGTATTTCATAAAAATTATTATAATTTTCAAGAACTCGTTTATATGTCGTTAATTTTCAAGAACTCGTTTAGATGTCGTTAACTCTATATGGAAGTCTGTCTCCATGAAGATAAAAGACTTCAACTTGAATGAGTTTATGGTAATTTATCAAATATTTACTTATTTTTCATTTAAAGTGTTAATTTAACATGAAAAGTACTAATATTATTTTTTCTTCATGTAAAAATACTTTTTATGGCATGCGATCGTTGATGCACTAATTAAGGATGCTTAGGAGAGTCTAACACGGACACGGTATGACGACATGCTTAAAAAGCCGAAACATAAGAATAACAAACTTGCGTTCATTAAACAGGAGGTGTGGGAAGCATGTCATTGGGATTGGGCCACTCTTAAGTATCAAATCCAATCTCGGTAAGTATCTTGGCACCATATTTCGGAGACGGGTGTTGTCGATGTTAGCCTATCCAAGCATACTAGATGGTCTATCTCTTTGATCGAACACATTAAGCTTTTGGTGAACCCTATATTATCCATTGTATTATAAATTAATTTTTGAATTTATTTTATCTCATATTATTTTGTTTATTTTTTTAACATAATAAATTGAATTGTAACACGAATCCTTATGAGATGTTCATGACTATTCACAAGCAAAAAGATAAAACATTCGTTGACGGAAGATCGTAGACAATAATGGTAAGATTTTATAAATTGTTTTAATACATATATCATCTTAAAAAATATATTTATAATTTAATATTATAATTATTTCGATGACATAAGAGTGCATGCTATCAATGTAAAAAACGAGTTGCTAGGGAGCGACCGGAGGCTAATTCATCATCTTTAGATATCGACATGCCTAATATATATTTGGATGCTCGTTAAAAGAGAGAAGCTAAGAGTGTACGACATCGAAACTTATGCATCTCAGTATTACTCACATTCTAGAGCCGGCTCCACCTCTCGCCACTTTGTAGTATCTTGAAGGTAATATCTATGAGGTTTTTGCCTAGTATGAAGATAGGATCAAGGGGATAAAGGTTATCATTTAGCAATAAGTCAATCAAGTTAGCTCCTTACAAAATTAGTTTAGATATTGATGGGATTGTTACAGAACCTCCGAGTAGTCTTGCATCTATCCTATTAACCCTCCCATAAGTCAAGAGTCAATCGTTTCTCTCAACACCCAAGTAGCCAAAAGATAATGCAAGAGATTGTGATAATGCGGACTAAATTTCTTGTTTTTTTTTGAAAAAAAACATTTTTAATATTTTTTTGTACATCTTAACACATTTATATTTATATTTTGTTTTAATTTATACAAATTTAATTTTATTAAATAATATATTATGTTTTTATCAAGTGTGGTTTATAGTTATTTGTTATTACAATTAACCATGCACAACTCTTAATTAAAAAATAAAAAATCCTTCTTTTATTGATAAAATTGTGAGGATATTTAGTGACGGATATATATACGGTCGTTAAATAGTGGTGAATTTAAAAATAAAATTGCAAGGATATTAACGACTATAATTTAGTAACACCCATTCCATCACTAAAAAGCAATGGATATAAGTGGAAATAGCGATGGCATGACGATGGAGATAAGAACTTTCATATGATTGTTTTAGATCGATTTGGTGATGAAAATTCAACAAATTAGAGATAAAAAAAATCTTTCACTAATTAGTGATGAAAAAATTTTCGATCGCTAAGGAAATAGCAACCACCATATTAATAATGTAAACTATATTGTTTCTAATCATCCATCGTATATAGCAATAGAAAAATTCATTGCCATATGTTAGACTTTTTGTAGTGCTCCAATTTTAGAATTTCAATCAATTTTACATAATAGTCGTTTTCACTCGCACTATAATTAGATCCTTTTATGCAAACTCCATTATTCATTCTTGCTTGTGCCTAAATCATGTCATTTAGTGTGAAACTTATATCCATTCACAATGAACTTAGGTATGACATCACTCGTTCATAAATGATCTTTTGTACAATCTTTTTTGAATTGATTTGTAATAGAGTTGGCTTATGCGTAATATGTCTATAAAATTGACATCCAAGCTTAAAAATTTAGTTAATAGTTAATAAATAAAACCTACTAACAAAACGAGATATGAAATGAA